CTTCCTCGTTGTGAGTCACGCGATATTCGGTAATAAAGATTTTGTGCAAACGCGCAGATAACGCTAATAAAATTGCGATAACGTAAAAAAAATGATAGAAAGTTGACTATTGTCGCAATGAAAAAAGAACGGATTCGCAATAACTCGTGTATTGCTTTTCAAGCATTTTTTTTCATCTTTATTTATCGCACGTGTAGTACCGTGTTTATAATTACGCACGTTTATAATAAAATCGCATTCGCGATCGCTATCAAGAGTCACCATATGGTTTATCTATCTATTGATTTACATACTTGTTTCGTCCGTGCTATTTATTCGCAGTAATATCTAATGGTATCACGGAACGGAAAATAGCGACATGCACATATTTAAAGTCGCTTTATATTTAACTCATCACAATGGTCTCTACAACTTCCTTTATTTCTCGCACTATTTTCATTAAATTGTCCATTTTTCATTAATTCTTTAAGTAAAATTTTGCTTCCTCCTTTGCATTCGATTACGAAAAGAAAAAAATTCCTTTATGAAATATATTAGCGACACAATTATCGTTTCTTTTTATTTCGCGCTTCTATCTAATCGCTATTTGAAACATACATATGTGTGGACGAAATATAAGCCCATTCAAAATCTAGTTGTAGTAGTTCTAATGGATCAGTTTGCACGATATCGGAGCAAGTTGAATACATTTATATGCATAGAAAATTATTTTCGATCTATCGTTAAATATTACACAGTATTTAACAATTTATACAATTCGATTTTTCATGACGAGGCATCCTTGGCCTTGCAGTCACGATAACCGTAATTGCAGCGGTCGTAAAACGGGCTGTACTATAGATTTATTGCAAGAAGACTACGCGGTCCAGAAATAATAATAAAAAAAATGAAGTAAATACTTGTATGCTCCGTTCGTGTAATAAAATTTCGCATTAATCGTAAAACTGTCGAGGATAAAATTATCCACCTTATGAAACAAAAATTTATCTACATACATAACTTGAAAATATAAATACATTGTGCTGTACATAAGAATTATATATTTTAATATTTTTTTTATTGTTCTGTATTTAATATTTTGTAACAATTATATATAACTAATTAAATAAAATCACGTTAAAAAGATGCATTAAAACTTATCGATAATTTGACATTTGAGTGCATAGTCCAAATGTATTGTAGTTGCGTTTTATTTACGGATAAAAATTTTTTTCTCAATACCTCATACATTTCATATTCGATAACATAATTCTTTTGTAGAATATAATGACATACGCTATTTTTATGAAGCTTTAAAGTATTGGCTCGACAATTAGTCGCATAATAACTAGCTAATCGATTACGTTAATTTCATATGCATAATGATATATTGCATTTGATAAGAGCCGATATATATATAAAAATAGAGTCATAAATGTAAATATCTAGTATAAAATCAAGAGAGAGAGAATAATATCATGATCTTTTTTCCTTCTGTTGCATTAATTTAAATTAATTAAATGATTAATGGCGCTGATGTAAAGCCATATTTTTAATAATGCATATTATGTATTATGGTAGAGGAAAAAAATCGCCCTTATCGCGATGCATTTTAACTAACATACAAGACTTGGACGTTACTTTTTTAAATAAAATCATTGTAGTATCACTGATAAACAGTGGTTTCAATTGTAAATAACCATCAGCGCAAACAATGAAAGAATCACTGAGAAGAATCAGTTATCATTTTTCAACCTTACTATTACAATTAATACAAGATAAACAAAATACGAGTGTTTTCATTAAAGAAATATTCGCTAATCGTGAAATCTCGCCACTTTTAATGCACATTTTTATCGATTCAGTTTAAGAAACTAACATTGATTAAGACGAATATTCATTCGACGCGGAACTCCCTCGATTAAACGCGATATAATCCCGCAGTAATTAGAATATTTAGAAGCGCACCGTCTGCAACAGAGCGCCTGAAGCGTTTAGGCGATGATTTACAGGCCGACCGAGGTATAACGCACACGCGCGTAAAGCACGCGTGCATGTATTACGCGCGCATTCGGGCAACGTACGAGGCACGCACCCACGAGTCTTTGTTACAGAGCGCAAACACACTCGCGAAGCGGTGGAAACTATAAAGGTATAAACAATAAAACGATCGGATGGTGGCGGTGCGCGGTGATAAATCACGGCGGACACAGTTATCTGCAGTGGCTGCGAGGGGTAACGCGCCGCGGCTTAGCCTTCGGTAAATTTAGCTATTGTCGTGCCTAGGATATATTAAATCTCGTTAAAATGTCTTCATGAAACCGCAGCGCCGCGCCTTGTTGCGACCACGTGGAAAGGGAAAGGGAGAAAGACAGATAGATAAAGAAAGAAAGAGAGATAGAGCTCGGATCGTGCAGCGAAACGTTGCAATTATAACGCCACGTGTTTTCATGTTTGTATAATATTTGCGGCATTTGAGATACAACATCCACATAAAATATGTATTTCATTTATTTATTTAGTTTTCTTTAAACAAGACGCGTCATCTAAATAAAGAAAAAGCGACGATCGATAAAATATGATAATATAATTAACGAATACTGACATTGGTTGTGTAGATATTCTTGGAATGGGAGGAAAGGGGAAATGAGAGAGAGCGATTTTCTCTTTTCAAGAGATGAAACCGCCTACTTGTTTATTCACACCGACAGTTTTATCCTCTCCGTTGATTTATTCCGGTCATCCTCGACTGCTATCAAAAAACAAAAAGAATGGATACACACGCATATATCATTCTATAATTTATGTTTCCACAAAAGTGTGAATATTGTGGAAATTTCTATATAAATATTCATTATTTAGAGATGCGATGCGATAACAATCAGGATATACGCGCACACATACATACATAAATACGTACATATATATGTTGCGCAAATAATTACGTAAAGACTTGCCATGGATCCTCAAACAGATCCCCCCCAAGTCGATTAATGAATGTCCAACCATTCCGAGATATTTGATCCGTTTCGACTTATGCCAACCATCGTATCTCCCTCGTCACTTTCCATACGAGATACAGACACCTACGTGCGAGCGCTCGGTTCGGGGACTAGAACAATGGCATCCTCGAACGCGGCTCTACCGTGATTATTGTAATGACGGTACCGTCCGCAAACACTTTTGAATGATATAATTCGTAACCCGGCGCGCCACGGTGAGAATAACGATGCCACAGCGTTAACCACCGTAATTTATTTTCACGCCTTCCCCTACCTCCCGAGATGCGATTTCTACGATACTTTTCGCGTAAACAGCTTGCCTCCGGAACACACTTTCACGATGCGTTATTGGAAGAGATCTTCGAGCATTGACATATGCAAATATCACCGTTGACATTCGATAACGTTGGATATATTCTGTTAAAGATATATATATTTTTTATTTTATTCTTTTATTTTTTCTATTTTATTTAAAGTTTTTTATCGTGCCTGCGATATAGCAAATTTTTTTGTTCCCTTATTAGTTTAAGTTTATTCCTTTTTTCTCTCGTATTAAGCGCGACAACTTTTATAGCTGTTTGAGCGACTCGATTGAAAATCTGAGAGACGAACTTGTTTCGTATTTGATCAGGATTCTATTTCTTGCCGCTCATTCATTTCTGGCCACCACCGTGGAGGGTCAATATTATCACACGTGCTCAAAACGCCGACAGAGAGAAACCGTTTGTCGCTCCTCGCCCATCGAATGCCTTGTCCTTCGATCGTAGTCCCATTTAAGATTGGGCGACCAGCATCGGCGCATTTACCGTTGGAGATCCACCTGCATCCGATAGGCATATATTTACTCAAGTCCGCCCTTTCCAGGTAAATGCTCGCCTCTCGCCGTTCGAATATACTCGAGGCTTCGATGAATCTATTTGCATCTTTTTTCAGATATAAAAAGGTATATACTCCCTCGTGTAGAATAATGAAGTCTCACTCTCTTTGAATGCCTTCGTGACACTTTAGGAAATAAAACAAATATCTTTTTCGCGTATATAAATTATTTTTCTATAATTTATATCATGATTAAAATACAACATAAATCCCCAAAAGTTTTCTTGCAGTTATCGGCGCGATTAGTGCAAAAAAAATGTACGCGTGCAAAAATCGACGCTCTTCTATGTGTCGAGAGTAGCGAGACATTTATCGAGCGGTCGAGTTAATTCCAGGTGAGAAAAAAAATGCAACGTCCATCTCCTCTTTTTTTTACGATGGTCGTTTCCGTTCCCGGTAATGCGACTTTGTACATTTTTATGCCGGCACCAACGCGCAATGAGCACAGCCGTAAAACACTTATGACACCCGTAGCATAATAATGTTACTCGATAGCGGCTATCTCGGTGTATATAACTCATCGCATTCGCCATTTTCCTAATTAATGTTTAATGTCTCGCTATCTATGCCCTCGTTGCTCATGATTGCGCGGTTGGTATCGCGTTATCACAATAGATGTTGCTGTTTCTTATTCCATTCTGACTACGCAAAATCGCACCATCGAGGTTTTCGAGGTGTAATCGCGAAATTTGCGTAAGTTTGAAACGAAAACGAAGAGAAGCGAAAAGCTCGACTGATTATCAATACACAAAAACATTAGTGGGAAGAATATTTTCATTCATTTTATATAATTCATTAGATGTGTCGTTAATAATAATAACGTTCATTTATTTATCCAGTTATATAGATATAACATTGAAGTCTAATATTGAAGTTTCGTGGTTTTCGAGGTGTAATCGCGAAATTTGCGTAAGTTTGAAACGAAAACGAAGAAAAGCGAAAAGTTCGACTGATTGATTATCAATATACAAAAACATTAGTGGGAAGAATATTTTCATTCATTTTACATAATTCGTCAGATGTGTCGTTAATAATAACAACTTTCATTTATTTATCCAGTTATATAGATATAATATTGAAGTCTAATATTGAACTTTCGTGGAATAATGTTCTAATGATATTTGTGTTCTCTTATGATTTTAGTCATTCCGAGAAGAGATTGACGAATCCGATCTGGATGACGAAGTACAGGACGATGAAGACTTGCTCTCGCACCCACTTCAAGGCAGCTCGCAATCGCAATTGGACATTGCTGCGCAAGTTGCTGGCACATCTTCATTAGCGCATTTAAACAATTTCATGAACATGCATCCGCAGCTCCTGGCGAAGCTTAAAATACAGGTTGGTAAAGAGCAATCTTTTTTATCCCTGTTACATTTAATCTTCCGACACTTGCTTCCGCCAAGTATACGCTGGCTTCATTGGTACTAAGAGGGAAAGAGAGAGAGAGAAAGCAAATACAGATTTTAAAAAATAACTTTATTGTGATGAGTTCACTATTATTTGCATTGTTGAGTTTTTGTAAAGATAAGCAGAACTGCATAATTCGACATAAAAGTTGTTCGACACATTTGAACGTTCGTTGACTCACAAAAGTCTCAAGTAGGGTAACACGAATCGTGGAAAATCGTGAGATAGTCATAACAGCGGACGTTGACAGTCATAAATGAGTTACCATTGCGTCATCGTGACAATAGATTTCTTTTTTTTTATTACGTAACATCCTAAACCTGATGACACTAGATCGACGCAATATCTTTACGATCTTGATAAGAAGAAAGAGAGATCATGAGATATTGTGTTCAGTACACATGTACTTGGCACGTATGAAAATTAAAAGATCATCCTTTAAAGATCTTAGAAAATTTCAACAATTGAAATGTTTTGTACATCTCTTAAACTAAGAATAGTTAGAGTGATTGAGATATCCGACCCATTATATTTCTCAATAAAAGATATAATTTAATATATTCAAGTTTCAGCTCAGTAGTGAGATAAAAATTTCGTATAAATTTGAGAAAAGAATGAATTGCGTGTATATGCGTGCGCGTGCGTGCTTTTTCTCTATATATTAATCAACTAATTGACAATTTTTTTCATCGCAGCTTTAATAGGATTGACTTTGATAATCAGGCATTTTTTGAACAATTTTTTTCTGCAGTATAATGACGCAGACATACAAACCAGGAACGGTTTGGAAGTTCTACAGGCTGCGATGAGCGGTAGTAACTTCATGTTTCCTCCGTCCTTGTCCTTCTTGTCATCGCCACCACCGCCACCGTTGATGCCACAACAGCAGCAACAGCAGCAACCTCAACGTGCGCAGAACAATCATTCGTACCCATTTGCGTCAAGTCCTGGAAATATAGTCGAGAATCAACTAATGATGGCCTCCTCTTCTGTCAGAGCTGCTGTTGGTAGCTCACAAACTGGCGAGTCTCCGCAACGAAACTGCAGGAATAACAGCGAATCCTCGCAAGGAAGCTCCAAAAATAACGGGGAATCTCGTGAATGTGAACCTCGCCCCGGAACCTCGGGGAACAATCAGCATCCATCTGGATCCAACTGGAACTTCGAAGAGCAATTCAGACAGGTGCGTCAGGCAAGTACCTAGCAAATACGTACGTCTTCCTCAGCTTTCTCGAGAATAATCGGGTGTATTGAGTGATGATACTAACATATTTTAACATTATTGTATCTCAGCACTTTTCCCGATGCTCTCTCTCTCAATCTAAGCTTAAAACTTAAGCTTTATCATTTTTAACACACTCTCTAATTTCTGCAAATTTTATATCTCGTAATAACGGGGAATTGCTCGCTTGGTCACTCTTTCGCTGGACGCTTTTCCTAGAGAAAACTTACTTTAAAAATAATTAGCTTCAAACTCTCTGAAAGATGAGCGCAAACCGACAATCACAGACGATTAAAAAAAGAAACGTCTCTCAAAGTGTGCGTTTGTAAAATACACGAACGATTCGAAAAATTTCTGCGGGAGCAGCATCGACGATGCACGGCGTGCGTGCCCCCGCGAGCTCAGGCCGAGTATCGTGGGCGTGAACAACTCGCGCGGTCACCTTTGTGGGACACTGGTTAGTGCCACGAGGGACGTGTAATTACGGCGAAGCTCTCCCCGCGCGAAACGAGATGGCGAATCGGCCGGAGAAAGAGAAAAAGAGGGAGAGAGGTGCTTTAATTAATGCAACGATGGAAGCTAATTATTATTTTTACACGACCGAGAGATAATTACCGACCGACCGTCCCCGAACGGCGTGTTCGTTGACGGTGTTGCGAGGCAAGAAGACGATCGGCTCGACACCGAGGAAGGAACGAACATTTCGGAGAGCTATATGAGCCTGTAAGATACATAGGGACCGCCGAGGAAGGGAAGCGGACGAAGTTATAGAATTAGCCGGACTCGCATCGCAGCCTTGTTAACGCTTTTTGCGAGGACCTCGTGCTCGCCCCGCATTTCTGCCATTGGTCCGCCCTCGCGGTTTTCGCTTTTTGCGAAGAGGGTGTGGTATTAGATTACCATTTAGATTGTTGTTCGCGCGCGCGGGCCGATATCTTCTCGCAGGCCGCGTGACAAACCCTCGGAGATGGTCACGTCGTGGTTTGAGAAGAACCTTTACGCACCGGATGATTCTGTATCTCGTATCGACGCGAATCTAAAAAATCGAGCACACGATATTTTCTCTTACTCGGTACTTTCGCGAAAGAGACTCCTTTACGCGGACGAAGGTTATTCGCCCATCATCGATTAAAGCGTACACAACGAGCGGACCAACGGCGCGCGAAAGACGAACGCTGTAGGGAAACGAGAAACAACGTGCGCGCGGGAATGGAAATAGAAGTCTCCACCTACTCGGCGAACGGCGCCCGCATCTCACGGATCGCATCCATCATTCCGGCGAGGGCGTACAAGCTGCTCTTTAATCTTTCTTCTTCGGGGTGATGGTGGTTTCGTCTGTTTTACTCTTCCTCCGCCGTTTCTTTTTTTTTTTGCTTTTTTCCTTCTTTACGAGGTGTCGGTAATCGTTCGCGTACTATACCCTCGCGATTTTCCTTTTCCCCCGCGAATCTCTCTCAAAGCTCCAACTCCGCGGATTCAGGCGTCGCTTTTAAATGTTTCCATTTAAGAATCAGTCGCGATATTTGATAAGAAATGTTCTTTTAGTATGTCTAGATTTTTGGAATCGTGAGCGTAAAAATACTCAAGCTTCGATTTACAGTCGGTCGGTTATTATCTTGAAACACACAGGGTGAGCACACGCGCGAAACCCGACTGTACCTTTCCGTGTCGGAACCAGGAGCTTGCGTTTCAGTAAAACAAGGATCGTCGTGTACCTGTCTTGTACACAAAGTTAATCCATCGACGGTGATACCGAACAGGAGCAACGACCCACGTTCATACGAGACCCACCTCCGCGTCTCGCTCCCACACGTACGCATCCCTTGTATCTCGATACAACGTCGGTACTTGTACTCTCTCGAGCCACCACTACGGTGGTATAATACTGTAGCACTATACTTTGCAGCCATTGTGAAATAACTCGTAAACCTGCAAATTGCCAGCTATTTCGCTTCCATACGCGCGCGCGCGTCTTTTACACCTTATGTGTTCCCGGCTACATGTGTGTATGTGTGTACTATGTATATTCAACCCCGTGGATCGAGAAGGTTGACTGTTCCTCTCTATTGAACGTACACCCGTTTACGCGCGTATATACTTGTGCAAAAACGTATTATCTCGATGCACAGAATAGTCACAAATTCGTCTCAAATATTTCAAAAATATTCTTCGTTTTAAAATTAATTTTTTCTTCTTGAATAAATTAAACGACAGTTCCTTTCATGAATTTTAAGTTACAAGTCTGATAATTGATGATTTAAAGAAATTTTAACTTTAAATTAATTTCTCTTTTAATATTAGCTTTAAGCTCTCTTTCAATTAATGTCTTTTAAATTATAAATTTATACGGTGAATAATTGGGAAGAAATACTCATTGTCCTCTGTACGGATGCAAAATTAGGACACCTTGTATGTGGACGTGTAGGATGGGGAAACGAGCGCGCACGCGCATTAGATCACCCTCCAGTTATCATTGTGATTATGCAAATGCATTATCATTATGCAAATATAGCGGTGCACCTAAAACTCAGAATATACGATTCGTGTCGTCGCTGCCGTCGCGGCTGGCGTGCTTAACGTGGGACTCGGATGGGTATGGCCCTTTGTAATTTCGACAAATAATGCGGTTTTTTGTTCGAGAGATTTTTCTCTGGGAGAGAAAACAACTCGCGTTTCTATCTCCGCGAAATAATTTAGGAGATGAAAAAAATAAAATGCTTCTCTCGCCAATTTTCCGAGTCGCTTCCTTCAATTAACACATGTTTTTTTTATTGTATTTTATGCAATTATATAATCAGATCGTTTAATTTATCCAGACACTTGGCATTATTTCTGGCGGTTCTTTATGACAATGTGTTCAAGTATGATTATGTAATAAACGTTCGCTCAATTGCAAATCAGCCGGTTCTTGTAATCTGACAACGGTGCCAGCCAAATAACGCGAATGACAAGAATTTTGCATTTTTAACCGCGTTAACTCGTTACATAATATATTAAGGAAGCGCGATAAGACGCGACGCGCGCAGAGCGTCTTTCCTTTCTATTTTGGAACTCAGCTGATGCGTGACATATCGTGATATCTAACGTCGTCGCTACTGACGGCGTATATAAAAATATCGCACGATCGGTGTGTGATGTTTGCACGCTTATTTTTTTCGAAATATTTATAGAGACATTCTTTATACGTCATTCTTTATACTTTTCTATCGCGCAGCTTATGTTAATCTTGTCGCATAAACTTAAGTCGATATCGCCGGATATGAGATACGCGGAGTATTGTAAACCTTATCAACAATGACAGTCAATTTCCATTTCAGGCATTGAAGGCAACGAATATTATAAATACGACGAAAAAAATTACTTCTACGCGACTTTATATCGGAGTTGCATTATCAATATTATAATGATAATACCACGTTGATAAACGATAAAAAACTGAACGTTTGTGGCTTGAAAAAAAAAATATATAAAAAGCTTCCCTCCTTCATTTTAATATTTCTATTCGCGAGTCGTCCTCTTGCTTTCGCTTATCGATCAATTAACCGAGTTACGCATGCGAAAGCGCAATTACTGCACGGTGCAACAGGATTATTATTGTGCGTTGCATACGTGAGACTCGTTTGTTGGAAATCGTTCGAATGGTTCCATTGTCGCACCCTTCCGTTTTTCTGGAATAGCGGAGGAAGGGTGTTTAGTTTCACCCTCAAATGACGTAATTTGAGAGACAATTAAATCCTCGCCGTACATTGCAGCAACTTTTACGAGCGTTACATTTCGCGTACGCGACGTCGTCGAGAATTAATGCGATACGCGTGTAGTCTAATTGTGTGTTAAACCAGGTCTATGATCGTCTGATGAACGCGACACTCGCGATTTTAAGACGGCGAGTAAGAGAGAAAAAAAAAGAGACCGCGACGATAGAGCCGGACAGAAGCCAGATGAAAATAGCCGCGTTCGAGAATCTTAGCGAGCTAATTTACTTAGTCCGTGCAACACCTGCATCACTTATTCAGTCTGTCGAGTGGGGGAGGGGGGCGAGAGTCCGCTTTTCTCTTTCCTCAAACGATATATCGACCCGCGGATTCCTCGTGTTTATCCAATAATTGGATGAGGTTGTAAATATGGCTATTAAGTTACGCGCGCGCTTTGTCTCCTTTTCTCTTCTTTAACCCGCACTTGATGTTTTTTTGACTGAAATGTCAGTCTAGTTTGATTTGTCATTCTCGAATCGTTAACCTTTCGACAAAACATTCCAAAGTAACAATTTCATCCTTCGAAGTATTGTTATAGTTCATGCTCATCATCTGTTAAAGTATTTCTCGCTTAACATTTCAGGTAAAATTCTTCATTTTAAATTTCTGAAAACTGCACCCCAGAGAGATGTAACCTCCTTTTCAAATAAGGTAACGGTACTCTATTGGTGTAGTATAATAGAATAAAGTTAGAACGGTAACCTGATGTTGGAGATTCCGTTACAAGAAGGCACATGTGACAAATGTTGTTTCGGCATCGCATTCTTTGCACAAAAGCATCCGAAAATTACTTTTTTCTTTCATCGTGCAATCTATCTTTCTCGATCTATGCAAAGAAACGGTTGTTTATATTATAATTTTCCGTAATTCTGTTGAGATTTTTATCGCGAGACACGCTCTAGACGAGTCAACGCGACACTTTGAGCAGATGGTAAAAGGGTTCGTTACGTCGCATGTTAATTTGCAGAAACGAGATTTCAACAACAGGATGTAGCGTATCGTTGATCAGCGGTAGCCTTTCCTCCTGACACGTGGAGCGTTTTTTTTTTTATATTTCCTGTCTCACTTTCTCGCATTACGCGTAAAGTTACGTTAAGCTTACAAATGTTTATTCGATTGTGAGTCCACGCATTCTTGATTAACGCGATCCATTCGTCAAAATATTATCATCGATCTTCCGAGCGGTACATTTTACATAATGTGTCTCAGATTCGGAAT